ATATATATATATACACACACACACACACACACACACACATACATATACATATACATATACATATACATACATACATACATACATACATACATACATACATATATATATATATACACAATCCTAAAATTTTTCCCAGCAAGTTTTAGACTAAATACCAATATACATTCCCATGTGGCATCCCTCTTATAGAATCCTTAACTCTCATCTCTAAATTTTTTGGCTTTATTATTTCTTTTAATTTTAGCCAGCTTTCCCTTTTCTAAGTTTCCCCAGTCTTTCTTCTTTTTTCCTTCTGGTATTATTTTTATTCCGCTCTGCCTGTCAGCCATGTTTTTCCCCACCCTTTCCAGTTCTCTTTTTTGGGGTTTCTTATATATTTTCCACTTCTTCTTAGTCTTGGGAACCTTATCTCTTTTATTTGTTGACTCTGTTGTCAATATTTCTATTTTAAATCCTTTTATATCCTTTGGCAATGATCCTTGTCTCCATATTCATCTGGACTGTTGTTTCCTTCTTCCGACTCATCATCTCTGAGCTTTCTTTGTTCTGTAAGCTGCAAAGCCATTACTTTACTAATCATTGTGTCCAGCAATTTCATTCTTTCTTTTAACATACCTCTCACAGTTTGCAGCTCCGACTTAAATTCTTTGCTTATTTCTTCCATTTCTTTATTAAAGATCAAATTTTTCTATTATAGTCCTTGCCAAAAGTTTCTGTTTCTCTCACTTTCTCTTTCTTCTGTTTTCTTGTCACAGTCAACTTCCAGCAGTCCCAAAATATTGTATTCCTTTATATTTTACTATAGTCCCCTCTTTTTTAAAAGAAAAAACTTCTGGGGCTTTTGTTGTATTAATAATCTTTTATTCCATTTCATTTCTCTTTCAAATATTTATGTGACCAGTAATTCTCCATAAAAACATAATAGAGGAAAATATTTAACCATTAGGTGCTCTATATCACTTTCTTTTCAAAGTTTTTTTAATTCTCTTTTCCATAGTATTAATGTTAATTTTTATCCATTCCAAATAAGTCCAGCATTTTATCCAATGCCTAACTGCGGACTGGAGCTCACTCCGTCACGTTGTGTTTGGGTCTCAAACCTTTCCAGCTGTCAAGCCCAATATCTTAACCACTGAGCCACCATGCCGACGAGATAATTGCCCTATGAAATCCATGCCATTCATCCTCCTGCCAGGCAGAAAGATTGATCGGTATGGTAAACGTGGACCTGAAACAGGCCTCATTTGGAATGCCACCGGTCGGTCCAAAGAGGTGAGAACATCACGGAGGAGAAAGGAGTGCAGCTAAGTCGGCTTTTTGAGGGGGGGGGGGGGGCTTGAGAAACTGGCCGGCAAGGGCACAGCCTGCATATAATTTGGGAATAAGCACTGGGTTTTCTTCTGGCAAGCCTAAGAGAGGTTTAAAGGGGGTTTGTGAAATTGGGCTTTGTCTGTCTGTTCAGCTTGTCCGTCGTGGCTTCCCACTTTTTTTCAAAAAAGAGTGTTAAGTAAGAAGAAGGGTGCTAGGAGGAGAATGAGCTGCAGTTAGCACTTCAAGGCAAATCCCCTGCCTGGGTTCTCTGGGATGCTGTCTGCGGTCTGAACAGGAACAGGAGGAATGTTAGGATCTCAAACACCTAAAGAGGGGAGAGGATTTTGTTGGTAGCTTGTCCAGGAATGGAAGCCTTGTTCAGAGAAGCCAGGAGGGGAGATTCCAATCTTTCTTGATCTTAATAATGAATAATCTCCTCCTCCTCTTCTTCTTCTTCCTCCTCCTCCTCCTCCTCTTCCTCCTCTTCTTCTTCCTCCTCCTCTTCTTCTTCCTCCTCCTTCTCCTCCTCCTCTTCTTCTCCTCCTCCTTCTTCTTCTTCTCATCCTCCATCTTCCTTTTCTTCTTCTTCTTCTTCTCCTTCTCCTCCTCCATCTTCCTTCTCTCTTCTTCTCCTCCTCCTCCTTTCTCCTCCTCTTCTTCTTCCTGCCTTATTTCCTCCCTCCCCCTTTTCTTCCTCCTCCACCACTATCCTTCTCTTCCTCTCCCTTAGATTTAATTAAACAGGAGGTCCCTAGTGCAATTTCCAAGATTCTGTGTGTGCCCCTAATTCTCAAATTAAAGTCTTGATTGATAACAATCTAATCCTTGTCTGATCATGCCTCGTCTTCTAAGAGGACTTGGTTCTCTCCTTGACTCTCACCAACTCTGGTTTATGCTCTGCCCCTCTTTAATTTTCCCCCTTAAATC